ATACACACATACATACATATATATACACACACACATATATACATACATATATAAACACACACACATATCATATAGCCATATATCCTTTTTATTATAAAATCATATTGAAGAGTCTTATATTCTCTAATAGTAAAAGGATTCTCCAAAATCTACCTTAAATTCACATATGAGTAACAAAGTCAACGTGTACAAACACAGATTAATTTTAATCTCACTTGAAGTTTCAAAAGATGTTTTTCACTATTGTCAATGAAATTTATACTGCTGCAATTTAGCTTAATAGTACACCTAAAATAAATTTTAAAATTAATAAAAAATATTTTAAAATATAGCATAATAGTTTAATTTTGTATGGAGATTTCTTTTTTTAAAAAAATCAAAGTACACTGTGTTTTATACAGTATTTCATTTGTATTACATTCATGTTTATTGTGGGGTTTTCATCCCCTTACAACCACCTTACTAATAACTACATTTGTGAAAGTGTGTAAACTAGCTTCACGTTGTGTGTGTGCCTTAATATCCCCATTTTGGACAGCCAATTTCGCATTTGCTTGTCCCAATCAAACTAGTTAGTATTGTGAGGGACCTAGCATATTCCTTTTGCTGAAGGATCTTTTGTTCAATCTGGAAAGTCTGAGCATCTGCACCCACAAGCCAAGTGCAATCCAGAGCAAGGCGTCATTTTGCAGCAGTCAATACTAGCTCAAAGCATGGATCATGTTCTCTTCATCTGGCTAGATTCTGGGGAATTCCTCCTTAGCCATCTGTAGCTACATTCAATTGGGCTTCAACCACAAACTCAGGAGTCCACACTTCTCCTTGAGTCCCAGACCTGTTGGTCCCTTCACTTAGGCTTAATTCTCCACATGGGACCAAATCAATAAGCCAGAGGTCCTCCTGACTCCCTGCTCCTCAAGCCGACAACTCTTTTTCACTTATCCACACATCTGTGCATACTAGTTGGACAGTGCTGAAGGAACACGGCCATGCCCACCCTATTTCTTCATTCTTGCAATTCCTCCTACTTCCACTCCAATGGATTCACATGATCACTACGAGTGAGCATACTCACCAGCTCGCTTGAACATCAAGTCCTGGAAGTGGGCTCTGATAAGCATCAACTTTACTCTGCCTCAGAAGCCAAAAAGCTTGTTTCAGTTTTAAAAAGCCAGTCTCTTCTTTTTCCTTTTCTTTTCCTGCTTACCTTTCATATGTGAATCTCTTCAATCAAACGTCCAAGGTGGAGATACAAATCTATGCAAATACAAACCTCCATGGGACTTAATCTTTCCCCTCCACTATGCTCCAGCAGCTTCTACCAAATTTTCTACATTTAACAACCTTATTTTTGGGGCAAATCTTCCTTTTTAGTACTTCCCATCAAGTACTAACCAAAGGCAGAATTACACACTTTCTAAATCTACAATATCCAGCATTCATTTGTATCATACATTTTTTTTATCCACCTTTTTTTTTCATTTGCATATAACCACCCTCACACACTGTGATTTATTGTATGGAGATTTTAATAATTACTAGATTGACTAAAGAGGTTAACAAATGCTGGCTGATAAGCTACTCTATACAACTTTCATAGATAATATTTTACATAATTCTTTTAACGTATTTTTATAACACTATTTTACCTGAAAATTTATTCAGTGAATCCTTACTTCCATTTGTTTCTGCTCCCACACGTTTGAACTGCTGTACAATGGTATTTAACTCAGAAGAACGCTGTGATATTCTATGTTCAGCTATTCGAAGACGTTCTTTCAAAGCAAGAAATTCTCGTTGATAAGCAATTAGTTTTTCTAGAAGCAAAAACAAAGAAATTCTTAGTGTATTCCTTTTCTGAAAAAATAAAAATATCAACATAACAGAGCTATATTTTAATTAAAGTCACATTTTCAGAAAGATATATACTCACAGAGAATTAAACACTAAAATAAAGATCTATTATCAAACAAAACCACTACTAGCTTACTCTTTGTAATATTTATAAAACTTTAAATTTACTTACGCATCAGAAATTTATAGTTGGTGAAGAAACAATACAAAATTTTTAGAATTAACCCATGAAGCATAATATTGGTATCATTTATCAAAGGTAAAAAAACAAACCACAACACACCCTACTTAGTTGTTGTGTGCCGTCAAATCACCTGCAACTCATAGCAACCCTGTGTACAGCAGCTCTGGCACATGCCCTGTCCTAAGTCAGTCTCACTGATTCTAACACACCTACCCCCGTTACCCCAGTAACCACATTATCAATCCATCTCATCTGGGGTCTTCCTCTTCTGTACTGTGCCACCACCCTTCCAAGCATGATGTCCTTCTCCAAGGAACAGTCCCCTCCTGGCCATATGCCCAAGTATGTGAGGCAGAGCTTCAAAATTCTAGACTCCAAGGAGAAACTTGGTTTCACTCTCACCAAGACAGACTTATTTGTTTTCTTGCACTCCATGGTATGTTCAAGATTCTTTTCCAGCACCACAACTCAAAGGTATTGATTCTTCTTCTGTCATCCTTAATCACTGTCCAGCTCTCTGATGCATAGCAAGTAATTGAGAAGACTGTAGTATGGATTAGGCGTACCTTAGTCTCTAGACTCACATGGCTGCTGTTCAGTACTCTGGAGGGGGTCCCTGAAAGCAGATTTTTCCCAATGCAATTAGTCTTTTAATTTCCTGACTGCTAAGAGCGTAGATTGGGGAGTGTAAATTGTAGATTGTGGAGCCGAGCAAGCTATAATTGTTAACAACCTCAATCTCTTCTCCATCTGTCATGGGGTGCCAACTGGCCCAGTGGTGAGAATCTTTTGTTGTTTTTTTCAAGTTAATCTTCAATCCATATTGAAGGCTGCTATCCTTGACCTTCTGCAGCAAACGTCTCATGTCTTCCCAAGTATCAGCCAACAAGGTTGTATCATTTGCATAATGTAGGCTGTTGATGAGTCTTCCTCCAATCCTGATGCCATATTCCTCATTATAATGCCCAGCCTCCCAAATGATCTGTTCTGCAGATAGATTGAAAAGGCATGGAGCCAGGACACATCTCTGATGACTTCCTTCCTGATTTTGAACCATACATTGTTTCCTTGCTCTGTTCTCAGGATTGCTTCCTGGTCCAAGTATAGGTTTCACATAAGCACAATCAAGTGTTCTGGGATTCTCATTCTCCTCAAGGTTAACCACAATTTGTTGTGATCCACTCAGTCAAATGCCTTTACATAGTCAATGAAACACAGATAGACATTCCTCTGGTACTCTTTGCTTTCTGCCAAGATCCACCTGACATTGGCAATAATGTCTCTAGTGCCATGACCTCTTTTAAACTCAGCTTGTATTACCGGTAGTTCTCTGTCAATGTACTGTTCCAGTCATTTCTGGATAATCTTCAGCAGGATTTTGCTTGTGTGTGGTATGAGTAATAATGTTCAATAATTTCCACACTCTGTCAAGCCACATTTTTTTGGAATGGGAATAAATATAGATCTCTTCCAGTCAGTTGGCCAGGTAGTTGGCCTCCAGATTTCTTGGCACAACCTGGTGAACACATCTAGGGCAGCATCGGTTTGTTGAAATATGTCCATTGGCATTCCTTCAATTCCTGCGGCTTTATTCTTTGCCAAATTCTTCAGAGCAGCCTGATTTTCCTCCTTCATCACCACTTGCCTCTTGACCATATGTTGTTTTAGGAAATTCTTCTGTGTCTGCCAATTCCTTTTGGCACAGTGACACTTTTTTTAACGTAACCTTTTAACACTTCTTAAATCATTCAATATTCTGCCATGTTGTTGTTTTTGTTATGTGCCATCAAGTCACTTGCAATTCTTAGCGACCCTACTACATACAACAGC